CCACAATATGGCGGACGGAAGTAATCATCCCCCGGTTGTCAGACTACGCTGCTTTGGTTGTCAGACTGTCAAAATCTCCTTAAGAAGGCCAAACTCTCTCAGTATAAACGGCTCTGACCCCTGGTAGAGTGCCTTCATACACACGCGCGCTTTTGCTTGTGGTGACATCTCGGCCATTCTTCCACCCAATCGTTTTTTTATGCATTTTGAAGTGCGCGCTATCCGGTCTCACTCAGCTCGAGCGCGTAGCTTTGGCTAATGCATAGACGCCATTATGCCGCCCATGGCACGCACTGACTGCATGAGCGCGTCACGCGCTGGCACATTCAGGGCAACAATGGATGTCTTCACCCTGAGACAGACAGACATGTAGGCACCCTAACCCCTGGTAAGGCGCTCTAACCCCTGGGCTACCCTTTGCCGTTTGCACAGAGCACGTCTGACAGTGTATCTCAGTGCTGTCACAACTTGCGGCCGAGATTTTTATAGCCTTTGACACCTGGTCCTTACGTTTAGACCCTCAGCCACTATCTAATCCGCTTCTGATGAGACCAAAACTGTGAATATTTGACGCACATCTCCGACAGATTCGGGAGCAAAATGTGGTAAGTAGAGACGGCGAATGCAATTGCGGAAAAACTATACTCGTCTTTACCTCCAGGACTTCTGTTGCAACTCAAGAACAGGAGGAGAAAGACCGCTTCTACGTGGAGGAACTTTAAACGATAAATAATTCGTACACTCTCGTGACATGTAAGCAGTCCCAATTGATCTATTGTCGTGGTCTGCATCATCATTTCATAGGCCGCATATGAAGTCGGTCAGCTACTCTAGACGAGGGTGTAGTAGTCTATACAATTTTCGCACAGTGCATATTACAGCCTAAAGTGCTTCCTCGGGGGCTTGTGCACATATCCAGCTGGTTTTTCGCTTTTGTCCTTGACCGTCTTTGCATGGTTAATCAGAAGTATTCCGAGGAGCTTGTTGCAAAATAATTCGGCTGACATAATGGAACCCAGCAGCAGACCGTGGCCGCGTTTTCCGAACAACCGCGTGCTAGGGGTCAGACAAGAACAGCTAGAGGTGCCGTCCATGTCACAGGGGAACGCAGTTTGCTGACGACACTGCCTGTCGGTAGAGTGACTTAAATCAGAGCGAAGTTCAATAAACCGTTGCCAAAACAACCTACGAAGCTCGAACACCAACGCAAAGCAGCTCGAAGGAACTCTCCGAGTGGGGTGGGACGGTTGCGCCCCTGGCGGCAAGCAAGTGAACTACATACGGAGAAAAATGGCATTGACTCCCGGGCGATTGCAAAGGCCGTAAGAAGAGAAAGAGAGTGCGCGCTTCCAGTCCGGCTGTGGTTGATCCTGCTCCTCTCGTGATTGAATGCGGCGAATAGCGGCGCCGCGCGTTCTAACAACGCGGCGCGCTCAAAAGCAGTGGAACGTATACTACGCCGGGGCGCCTGCAGCGTCTACTTTCCTGCACGACATTTGAGTCTGCTCCTCACGTGGTCGTATCTCGGCGAATAGCGGAACACCCTTTGTGCACTTTTCAGTGTGAAACATTTCTTAGTGTGTAGTGTTCCAGGAAGCTCAGACGATATCGTTTTGCTCGGTTGCGGATTGTTTTAACGTAAGAGAGTTAGTAGATCTTTCCGATAACTTCGATAGCGGTACCCGATGCTCCTCCGACGCCTTTGCGCTTGCATCGTATCGTTATCGGAGGTATCGGAACCAACTACTAAAACTATCTATTAAGTCTGATTTACATAGTGCAATTTTACATTCAATGGGGACTTTTAGCAAACCGTTACGGTATTCCGCGTACTGCACTACCAGAACCTTTGAAGCATGCTGTTAAGCGCACGCCCTGTGGTCACGGTATCACCCGAGCGTGCTTCACAGGCTCTGGTAGTGCGGTACGTGGAACGCGGTAACGATTTGCTAAAAGTCCCTAGTATCACAATTGCGACGTAAAAAAAAAAAAAAAAAAAAAAGCTTGGAGAAAGTTGCGCTGCCCGACGTCGCAGCTGCGAATTCGCAAGTAAAATCGCACCATGTGAATGAGGCTGCTGGAGAGGTCAGAAAACCCTGCGATTTCAAATAAAGCTTGAAATACTAACTGGCAACAGTATAGTTTTCACCATCAAGAGGGATCGAGCGTCGTTAGTCCGATGCCCAGCTGTAGAATGAACTATGTATGCGCCGACGGGAAAGGAGGGCGAAATAGGGCATTGAAAGAGGAGAGAACGGGAACGAACGGGAACGCAGCCTTCGGCTGCGGAACAACCGCTGGGCGTGAGTGCTTTGAAGGGCCTAACAGTCAGTCGGTGTCCAAGTCGTCGTCAAAAGAAGGACGGGGCTCATTACAGGACGCCAGACATCAAAGACTGAACTGACGATTCAGTCAGCGTTGTGAAGGAACACAGAAGGGGCGGTATCGCTGAGTCCCGTAACGATCTGCCGTCTTAAGGGCCGCCCACACTAGCGAGAAAACGCGCCCGGCGCGCCGATAAATCGGTTAAGCGGGAAGATAAAGGGCGTGTCTCTGCACGCGCTCGTGGCGCTGACTGTGCTTCGGCGACATTTTGTTACTTGCCGCGATCGGCGTGCCACGCGCGTTTTCTCGCTAGTGTGGGTGGCCCTTTACAGACGAAGGATCGATAGGTTCGGAAACGATCCTCGCACATCGTGAGAAGAACATGGATTGGCGCCTGAAGGGCATACGATGAGAGAGCTTGCGTGTCTGCTACTGAATGCTGCTTAGTTGACGATCCTCGAACACGCCCCGGGATATATACGCATATAGGACTGCTCTAAAGAGAACCCTGCCATTACGCCGCTATCCGAAGCGGCGTGTGAAGGTTACGTCCGGTTCATCACAGACAATGGGGAGTTTTCGTAGATCGTTTCCGCCGTCCCGCAACGATCTCCGAAACTCGCGGCGACACCCAGAACTCTACAGTCAAGGCCATCGGCGCGCAGGCGCAGTAGCGGCTTCCTCGTTCCGGGGGGCTTAGCGGAGGGGAAAGCACCGTCTACGAAAACTCCCTAGTGCTAAGCCTGCACGACTATCGTACAACATAAAACCTAATTTTGAAGCAAAAGAAAAATGCGTAGCAAATTGCTAAACAATTACTTTGCACGTGAAACGTGTGGCGTCTAAGCTCTCGGCGCTCATCGGTTAGTTTAGCGACTGGCGTGTCAAGTTGCTGCCTACTGGACGCGGAGCGGATACCCCGCAGGGCTTTTCCGACGAACAGCACTTCAACTCACGGCGATCTGTCGCTCCATGCTGGAAAGGCACTCGCTTAAAATGATCTAAATGGTCTGGGCTCGGTTCCCACCTGGCACAAACTCCTTTGTGCTGAGATGGCCTCTCGACCCAACCCCCCCCCCCCCCCCCATTCCCCCCTCCTCCACCCTCAAAAGCAATCAGTACCGAGCCTCGCGGCCATGTTTTTATCGAGGCTTCAGTATTGACTTCACTGCTTTTATCGAGGCTTCAGTATTGACTTTTATTACATTTAAATCTCCGCAATGTCTAAGTTTTCATTACGATCACAGCTACTGTATTGAAGAACGAGCGTTCGTTTATAAAGTCGTTCAGGTAAATAATAGACCCTTTTCAAGACCCCATCAAGGGGCATTGGCGGTCACCATTTCTTCCGCAGGAAGCTCGTGATTCAAACGTGGCGCGCACTTTTGAAAAGGGTACCTATTCTGTCAAATTGTGGGGCTCCGAAAGCACTGAGACTACGCCAACGGGCCGACGACCATGGGCGCAGGGCTAGGCAGCTGTCGAGGCCACAGCTCCCGTGTACAAGGGCATCGAAGATGCCCCACAAACGATTGTTCTCTATTCGCACGATGAAGGGAAAATAATAAAAATTATGCGACTGTGATGCATTGGATATTTTAACACGGTTGACTCATGTGGGTCATTTCCAGAACAGTTAAACGTTCAAGCCAGATTCTTTGAATTACTAACAAAAAGCCGCTTATCTTGAAGTGCCACGATAAAAAGAGCACGTATTTGTGGTGCTGCAAAATAATAGACCGTCTGATCCGTATTGTACTCGGAACTCAGCTCCGCGTCCCATTAATGAAGTCAGTGAAACAATGGACCTTTTCCACATACCGACGGCACCAGGCGGTGGCTGCACGAACTAAAGATCGAGAAAGTGACCTACCTGCGCTACCAATCGATACCGGCCGGGAGCTACGCTACCAGTTTCTTCGCTCTCCGAGCTGCGGCGCGTGTCCAACGCGAGCTTAAAGATGGGCATCCGTGGCGTCCACCCAATCGTTGTATTTTTCCTTGCATCCACTTTCTTTTTTTGTGTAACCCAATTATATGTATGCTGCAATTACCTGTTCTACTCGCTTATCCACAGGCTCATTCCGAATTTCCTCGATTTTTCGGTCCGACTTCCGCCGCTAGGCATCGGGCGCTCGCGCGTGCGCAGAACGCTTCTAGGAAAAGGTCCATTGCGCAAAATGGTATTATTATAAACGGCCAGATGATAATTACGCAGGTATATTTCGGTGTAAAAAGTGTTGTCACGTCAATATCCTTAAAGAAGGTAGCATTCAAAGTACAGTAATTGCGAAGTAATGGCATTACTTTCTGAGAGCAACGAACTGAAAGGCGAACGCCGAAGGGGAGGTCGCCTCCTCTTCAGCGTTCGCTCTGGTAACGTGGAAAGAGGTGAGAGGAGCTTCCCCCTGAACTTTTAATGGTCGTCTGCGAAAAAGGCTGCCGTTGAGCCCGGCAAGTTTCTTGGTCTCATTTCTCGCAGGAAGGTAGCCACACCTTGAAGTTTCATAAGGTAAAATCCACCACCTAAATACACATTCGGTGAAAGTTGCAACTTTCTCTGTGCACGGTGTGATTTTATCGGCTGGTTTTAAAGAAAACATGAATGGATTGTGGACAGCATATAGTTTCGAGGCTGAAATCGCATAGAGAGGAGCCCCGAGGAGGAGGCGTACCTGACGTAGGCGGCCTGGGCCTCTTCCCTGCTCGCCTTGGGCCTGGCGGTGGCCGACAGCTCGAGGTCGCGCAGCCTCCGGCGCAGCTCTTCGTCGCGCTGCTGCTGCCGCTTACGCTCCAGCCAGGCCTCGAAGGCCCCTTGGGACTCGGCCTGGGCCACGGCTCGGCTCACCACTTCGTCCTGCCCACGAGGCAGAGACGCAAGTTTGGTCAGCACAGCTTTGGCTGCACTCAATGGGTTTACTCCGTTCGCCGCTAATCTGAGAAGGCGGTGGAAGCTACGCGTTTGTTGGACCAATTGTGCGCCTATCTTTGACCACCTGATCACGCTCCCGCCCATACCCATGCACTGAAAAGCAGGGTCAGGTGATGAAAGGAGAGCAGCTGATTGGTCCTGCGAGCATGTCGCTCCCACCGCACTGTCAGCTTAGGGGTAAACGGAGTAATGGAACCAGCATCACTCAAATTCTCAGACACGGAAAAAGAAAATAAGACGACACAAAACCCGCGTCGTCTTGTCCGTTATTTTATCTATGTCTAGGGGTTTATACTAGACTCGAGTATTGCAAGGGCTCGGGCTCACCCGAAAACCCGGGCCCGGCGGGTTTTTGGTGGGCCTGACCTGGCCCGGACCAATCAGCCGCCTCCCTCTTATCGCCTGACTCGGCTCTCCGCGCGTGGGTATGGCGGGAGCGTGATGACGCAGCGAAAGAGAGGCCTATGACTAGTTAAACGAGGACGTAGCTTTCGCTGCAGTCTCAGCTTAGGGGTAACCCGGAAGAGCCATCCTACTAATCTCGCCTTGCAGAGACGAGGCGGTCCGCGTTGCGGGAGGTTATTGTTTTTAATACGTTAGCATTTATTGCCCTGATGGGTTTCGTTTGGACGGTCGTGGTTTGGTTTGGACTGGAGAACTGAACTGGGCTGGTTTCGTGAAGCCACGGCGCGGTGCGCAGCTGCCGCCGTGCACTTTCGTTCCGTTCGTTCGCTCGTTCGTCCACTTTCCCTTTTACAAGGGGGAAAGATTCTTCTGGCACGCATCCAATGACGCGCCGCGGGAGCGGGAGAGGGGGGGGATCGAGCAACAATGGCGGTGGCACAACGTACGCACAATGTAAAACAGAGGCGCAGCGATGACGCCATTTGCACGAAACTGTCGACGCCCGGGAGAAAAGATTGGCTCTTCGAAGAAAATAGCATGCGATCGAGGGAAGCCGTGGTGGCTGCATCCGAAACTGCCGTCGTCCGGGAGAACCGGACAGTTGCGAAGTTGGAATTCCCATCCTTCGCTGAGTCGCAGCCCCAGCGCTAAATGCTGGGGCTGCGACTCAGCCCCAGCATTTAGCTGGGGCTGAGTCGCATAATTTTTTCCTTCAAACTCCTGGTTTCCCAGTAGACCCAGTGCAGCGAACGTCCCTGACAGACGCCACTGCCCGTTGCGCTGTGGTTAGCGCGGTTAGCGCGGCGTCTGCCTGCGCCTTTCGCTGCACCGAGAGACTTATTCGAGAAGGCGGAAGAGGAAACACGAACGTATCAACCTTCCGAAGCGCAAACAATCCTCCTCTCCCCCGAGCCGACAGATCCGCGTGCGAAGCAAGGCCCGTGGCGCCATGGCATAGCCTATAGACGCTTTGCACACGCGCCAGTTTACAGACGCCATTGCTGACCTTTTCTTGTCTTACCGAAATACTAAAACGGGCGTTGACGAGCCTCCACAAAGGACAATGCTGAGGATAAGGACAGAGTAGAATCTAAAATGGCATTAACCTGGTCTATATATGGTAATGACTAAGTAAAGTAGACGGAACGAGAGGAAAGAAATCCCGAAAGTCCGTTATTGCTCCGCCCATGCACATCTGCTGCAAAGAAGCCGGTGCTTGCGTTGCGTACCCGCAATTCACCCCCAGCGGTTGCTGGGGGTGCCTTGGACAACGTAAAATTACGTTGTCCAATACGTTCGTGCTCCACTCGGCGAAATTTAGGCAACAGGACATTGAATTCGGGTGTGCAGGCCCGTTCTAAAAGATGGCGGGCCAGGTAACATAGATATTGATCGTGTTCGGGCCGGGCCTGGGCTTGGTTTCGAACACCTGGGTCGGGCTCGGGCGGGTAAGTAATCATGGCGCCAGGCCCGGGCCGGACCTGGGCTGAAAAAAGCGGCCGTGCAGCCGATCTAGTCTAAAGTTCCTACATAAGGGCTTCCTACAAGCACAGCGACATCCTTTGAAGCGCCGACTGCGTGACGCTTCAGGTTTTAGGAAGCGAATCGCGGCGCACAACAGACGACTGAACTGAATGACGCCATTTTGTTCCAGCGGAATGGGCTTTGTCATTTGTACGGTTCTTGTTACATGTAAAACGAAGTATCAAAGGACTTTAGTCTAAACCAACGTTACTAGAAACACTGAGTTAGGAAACTGCCATGAAGCCTGCTCTGAAAAAGTGGCCCCGATCCGTATTCGAGAACCGAGCTAATGGCGATCGCAACGCCGCCATTTCTTCCGCAGCGGTCACTCAAGGAAGTGCAAACAAATACGGTCCATGGAAGCGGTTTCAGGGGCGCCACCCCCGTCTCCCAAGCGGACGCACCGCGAATTATTAGCGAAGTTAGGATGCACCTAGGTCGGCACGCGCTATCTGAAGTCACCGATGAGACATGGTTGTATAAAAACAATATTAATTGTCCCGCAAAACCTTGCAAACTAAAGATTTTAGAAAACATCACGCGCCCTTCATTCTGTACTAAACTCCGATAAAAGTTTCTACAAAACAAGTTTTTTCCGTTGGTTTTTACGCAAAAACATGCTTTCTAAAAGCCCAAGGTGACCACAGTAAAGACAAATGGTGAACAGTGGCGCTGTTGTCGTATTTAGCTCGGTCTCGGTCACGGTGGTCTCGGTGGATGCCAGCGGCCCAGGTTTCAACGGTGAGCTTCTCAACTGAGGGTTTAGTAACGTTGATCTAAACCATGAGAGAGTAGTGTGCCTAGATTTGATAGTATTTCCAGCAGCTCAATCAGGGTCACGTGGTTCATGGGCCGCGTTTTGCGTCTCCAAGTTTTGCTCAGCATCTCCAGCGCCGCTCTCCTCCTCGCCGCGTGGCAACGGTCGCATGCGCATGAGCATCAGTCTGCCCACGAGGTGCCCGTCATTAAACTGCAAACGCTCTCCATGGTTTGAGTTGCTCCCTCTCTTAAATCTAGGCTCTCTGGAAAAACTCTCAGGGACAAGAGAATTATTTTCCTGACGCACAGCTCTTACTCAGCGTTCGGCTGCGTCTCAATCAATGAAGCTCGATAGCACCAGTCCCGTCTTATGGAAGACGACGCGTATCCAATTTCATAGCCTTCTTTATACTTACAAAGCCTGGCAGTTCGACGACGGAGCCATATAGTGCCCGGTCGCAGATTAGGAGCGCGAGAATCTGGTAGCACTGAGCATCAAAGAGTCATTTCTCGGGGAACCTGGACGTCAGCGCACAGCTTTTGCAGCGGCGAGCACCTGTAAAACTTTTATTCGCTCGGGAGTGTGTTTCAGCGTCTCGCCGCAGCGGGGCGCCAGTCACGTGGCTCTCCTCTCATTCGTTGACGGCCGATCCACCTTTTTCATTTCGGCGGCCGCTTCTCGTGACGATCTGCCAGGCTTTGTCAGTATAGAGGAGGATATGCCAATGCCTCAAAGCGGAGCGCAAGTTCGTCTGCTTCTTTTGCGGGGGTTGGGGTGGCGTCAAAAGGCCGAGCTTTGATTGGTTCTGATTGAAGGATCGTGGGTAGACCTCAAAGCAAGCTGCCTTGAGGTCTACCTACTATCCTTCCATCAGAGCCAATGAGAGCTCGGCGTTTTGACGTCACCACAACCCTTGCAAAAGAAGCAGACGAACTTGCGCTCCGTATAGACTTATTCCAGAACTCGAAGCGCCTCATTGGGGCGTAATGCCACATTATGGATTGTGAGATTCAGTGGGAAGCAAAATCCGTACGCGCTCCGCTTCTGGTCCACAGGATCCCAGAATTCAACGCGCGCGGTGACGGATTTTGTAGAAGTAGTCAATTGAGAAGGGGGTGAAGAATAAAAGTCAAGATGATTTAAATCGTGATTTCAATTGCGCCGATTTGGCTATGATGATTTAAATCAAACACTTTTCTTCAATACAATACTGAACATCTTTTCTATTTACCGTTTGTCTATCAGTGTTTGCTTCCCGTGGGCATTTATTTTGCATTTAAAGGAACGAATAATCAAGCGGGAAAGATCCATATCAGGCAGTCATTATTAAATACACACACACACACACGTACAGACGCACGAGCGCACGCACACACACACACACACACATCTACACTCGTTTTTATCTCAAGAACCGTAGTAAGAACAGACTCCTCGCGGAGTATTACAAATTTCCCTCTTTATGTGCAGAGTTAAGATATATGTAGGTGCAGTTTAGATCAGATATATGTTATCTTGTCAAGACGTACACGTTCCAAACGCCATAGGCAATGCTTCCTCCTCTGACAACCAAATCTTGTAAGAACTACTTCGCTCGGCGTATCAACAATGTGCAAAGCTTGCTCTTTTCATGAGGTGAAAACGAGTATAGCGATAAATAAAGTAACTTTTCCATCTGAAGTAATTTAAACCATGCAAGTTTTTGATGCAGATAAAAAAAATATCTATCTATTTCTTTTTTTACTTATATTAAGAAGTAAACGTTATGATTAGGGTTCCGTGTTTTAAGGGTTTCTTCTAATTCGAATTCGAGGGTGCTTTTAAGAGGTTTATTTTTGCCCACGGATTAGGTATTTTTGTAATCGATTTTCAGTCTCGGACCAGAAAAAGAAAGATTAGCTTTGATTGGACTTTATGTTAAAGAAAACAGTATATGGGTATGTAATTCCCTAATCTCGAGAGAACACGAGCTCAAAATACTAGAAAACGTACCGGCACCGACAAGAGGAGGAAACGAGGCAATGGGCGTGGTTCCTGAAGAAGAAAGCAGCCTCGCGGACCCGTCAGTGGAGGTCGTATTATATGTCAACGTAGAATAAAGTTGTAGCTTTTTTTCTTAAATCAAGGACTGCCCCAATTCGGGGTTTTCCGGTTTTCCCCGATTTTGATCAAACGGGCTCGGGGGTTAATTTTCCGGCTTTATCGGTAGTTACCGAAGACACGGAACCCTAGTTGATGTAAAGAATCCAGTTCACAGGCCTTGTGTTGGGTAAACACCGAGGCCTGTGAAAGACAACCGGGACGAAGTGCCCCCTCTAGTTCGATCTCCTCGCCAATAGAAGGAACCGCAAAAGTTATAAAAAAGAAGCGTTCGACAACCAGCACGCTCTCTCACTTCTTTCGAAGAACTGTCCGTAGATTGACTTCCCCTCTGTTGACTTTGCTTCCTGCTGACCCAAGCCTGGAATGCACGTTCAGCCTCTTGCTTGCGCAGCTCACGTTCCCTCTTCTCTTCCAGCTCTTTCTCCTCCTGCAGGAGCTTCTGCTGCCGCCTCCTGCTCAGCAGTTCAGCCTTCATGTCGCGAGGTAGTCCATAAACAGACCTAGGGTTTCCGCGGTACTCCGGAAGCCTCTGCTTCGTGGTCTGCGTCGCAGACGACGGAGGAGACGCAGTGAATCTCGCGGGCAATGCTGAAGACGGCCTAGGCCTAGCAAGAGGTCCCGATGCGGTCTTAGGTCTTGCCGACTTGTGAGGCCTTGAGTTGGCCCCTGTATTCCCTGTCACGTCCACTGTGGAGATGGGTTGGCCTAGCAAACTACGGTGGTGAATTCTACTTTGGGCACCTGGAACACTTTGTTTCGCGGAGGTACCGTTCGACTTTTGAGTTTGTGTTGAGTCGTACGGACTCTTGAAGACACTTTGAGTTGGCTTTGACGCCCCTGAGTTTGAGGTCAGCTGTTCGGAACTCACGCTGGTCGCACTTCGCGAGTCTCGGTCTTCGGAGTGTGGCGACGATTCTGATTCCGGGCTTCCCGTGAGTCTGTCTGGAGATTCATCACCAGGTGTCTCTTCGAATCCGTTCGTTTGGTTCGTGCTGCTTACGCGATCGTCCGAAAGTTCCGATATATCTTCGCTCACAGAATCGCTGTCCGACTCAAAACTGTATGATGTGTTCTGTAAAAAGATACAAAGAATCTCGAATGAGGAACCATATAAAACAAAGTGAGCAAACGTTCTAAAGAAATATTTCCTCCCTTTTATCACGTATGTGTGAAAATTAATATATATAATCAATCTTTGTGGGAATGGATGCATGGGACAAAATCAAAGCGGAACAAGTATTCGCGCCAACAAACTTGAAAGTCACCATCTAATGATGTTGTTTTTCTGTAAAGTTTAATATTACAATTGAACGCTAGGCACGTATGAGGAGGCTCCTGTATATTGAAGTAACGCAAACATCGTAGAGAGCTCTGCGAAAATATTTTAAGCGACCGCGCGCGGCGCTTTTCATTTTTCTGCTAGTTAACACTATACTTGAAACGAAAACAGAAGCAGCCCAAGTGAATTCACACCACTACATTACTGTCACCTCGTAAAAACCACAATACGTTTGGAAAACACCTCAAACATACATTCGAGTATATCAAAACTTTTGCGTGCTTCTTCAAAATAATTTCGAAAAATTAGCTTATTTTGAAACAAGCAATATAATGCTTGAAGTGACGCAGTACCAGCCAACTATAAACTACTGAGAATGCGCGTGGTGCCGCTTGGCCGACAGTTAGTCCAATGAAAACGTAGACTGCACACTGCTGCCAGCTTATTGGTAGTGGTAGCTGAATGATATGAGCCCGTGAATGTTAAAAACAGTGAAACAAAAACTACTACAATTTATGTGTTTTTTTCTTCATTTTTTCCTAAGCTTTTAAGTTTCTGTTTCCGCCGTATGATTAAAATCGCCCTTTTACGCTTCATTCACGCGCACGCCAGTAGAAGCTAAATATACCCGCGAAGTCCTAAATATCTAAATATCATGGCAGTACTTTCCAGCTTTCAGCGCCGTCAGACCGTGCACTGCATCGGAATTCATGGATTCCCTACGCTCACTTGAATACCAGCTGAACGTAGAGGCAAAGCGAAGGAGAGGAGAAAACAAGGACACACGCTTCTGGAGAAACGGTGTGCTCAGAGAACCAGAAAGGTAAGTTGTGACGGCCTGAAGCTGGTATTCATGGAAGCATGTCACACGAACTAGCTCAGCTTCAGGCCGTCACAACTTCCCCACGCACCAGACCAGCCATGCTTTCGTTCAAAGCACGAGCCGTACCTTATCCTCGTCGGTGGCTTCGCTGGAGCCTGAGCCTCTCCTCCAGTAGTCGCTGGAGAGTCCGCTGTCCACGTCAGTCTCCTGGAGGTCGTCACCGCTCCGACCGTTCCTCAGCCCGCTGGGATCGTTCCCCGCACCGGTCGGTGCAGGAGCGGCCGTCAAGAGGCCGTCGACTTCTCCGCTCTCTGTCGGCGCCGCGGTCGGTGCTTCGTCTGCTGGCTCCGGTTCGAGCCCCGGGTCGTCGTCGGCATCTTCGGCATCTGACTCGTCGTCGTCAGGCGTGAAGCGGACGACGGCGTCGATGGGGTCTCGGAACTTGACCTTCCGCTCGCGGCTCGACTCGACCGGGGTGTTGTCTGCCCGCAGCTGAGCGTTGACCTCGCGCAACCTCTGCGCAGTCTCGTACTCGTAGTCGTCCGTGAACCCTTGAAAGTAAAAGCAAAGAACACGGCCGTCAGTGTCGACGGCTTGACGGTTCACTTGGAAACGTTTTCTGTTTCACACGAAGTCATAGTTGTACCGAGAGGGAGCCATCTTGGCGGCACTGAGGTTCGCGGCTTCGACCTCTGGAGCTGCTGGAGCCACTGACAGAAACGCAAAGTGCGGTTTATTGTGTTCACACCTCCTTCTTCGTGATTGGGTCTTCGGCCTTCTTATCGGCTAATGGCGCACTTTCATTGGCTGAGAACACGCTCTAGACACGCCCTGAATTTTCTATGCTGTAGTCTAGATTGAAAGTTCGATCCAGCCGCGGCCACTAGAACGTCCAGCGAATGTGCTAGATCCAATAGCCGCCGCCCCCGCGATAGCACAAGCTGGAGACGCCTTTCCGTGCTGCCTCACAGAGAGAGAGGCCAACACTGACGTCGGAACAGTGAGGACCGGGAAGGGGCTATTGCCTTCCTTCTTTCTTCCCTCCAGACATTATTTCGCTATGGCGGCAGCCTTTTGGGCACGACTCCGGACAAACTTAACTCATTTTCGTACGAAAGTGAGTGGAGGTGGAGAGTTTACGGGAGCTCCTCCACGCGAAAGGAGGCAAGCGGCGACAGCGTGTTTCAGGTCCTTGCTCTATGCTCTTATAAGGATCGATATACACAAAAATAACATTGCCCCCCCCCCCTCTAATTTTTTATACGTCGCATCTCATTAAAGGGACCATGAAAATATTTTTCTACTTCTTGCTTAGATTTAATCCTCAACTCTGAAGCGAAATAGAAAATCACGTGATCGTGTCACGTGCGTGGGCACTGGTGCGATGACTCCAAGCTTCCACCGTACTTTTTAAGCGCACCGGAACTTGTCATTCGCAAATGTAAGTACCGTGACGGCACTCATTGGCCACAAACGCGAATCAAAATATTCGTTGACAGATTGTTAGTTGACGGCGCATACGTCCGGGAGTGACGCGCTGATTGTGTTCCATGCGTGAGCTGGGGGGTCGACTGACGTGCTTTGCACTCTAAAAAAATAAAAAAAAACGTGCATTTACTTTTCCGCACAACACTCAGAGAGCCAATCACCGCAACTTACGGAAACAGCTCAGCGAATGACGCTGACAAAACATGTTTTGACAAAAATAAAAAATAAAAAAACGCAGTCTGAGTTGTGACATTAAGCAATGGAGCGTGACATTTTGCATTGCTTAATGTCACAACTCAGACTACTTTTTTTTCGTTTTTTTTTTTTTTTTTTAAACATGTTTTTTGCATCGTCATTCGCTGAGCTGCCTCCGTGAGTTGCGGTGATTGGCTCTCCGAGTGTTGTGCGGGAAAGTAGACGCACGGATTTTTTTTAGATTGTGGGTATCGCGGATGTATAATAGTGAAAAGACAGATCTTTCGAAAGGTAGGGATGTACAAAAGAGTGGGCTATATTTTCAGATTTCTGTACCGAAAAGGCAGTTTTTTTTTTACTTTCTACCCTCTTTCTTTTGACCTACTAAACGATGTGCGATTAGTAAGATTACAATCTAAAATTATATATCGCAGCCCAAAATTCATTTCATGGCCCCTTTAACCGCTTTTTATTTTGTCACCTGACAACACAGTCCAGACTTGTGCCTATCTCAAATACTCTACTCAAGATACTGTATCTTAAATACTTTTTTGAGTATCTTGGTATCTTACAAATACCTTTGATGGAGAGTATTTAATACTCTATTTTAATTACAATTCCGAGTATCTTGTACTCATTATCTTAAATACATTTTTGACATTCCGCCATTTTCCCAGTTTTTCGGTATGAAGTGGGGTGGGCGTGGCACGAGCAGACGTGAACATTGTTTCGAGCAACCGAATCATGTTGCTAGCTCCGATTAGCTACGGTGACTTTAACTGAGCTCGTGAAAATATCGCTTTTTTGCCGACTGTGACTCATATTTATCCCAAAGTTCGTATAATGAAGGTTCTCCCCCCGCGCCTTCCCAAAGGCACCTTTTGTTTCTATAGAGTTTCCCCCCAAAAAATCCTTAAACCAAAGGTGTGGTTTTACGGAAGTAAACATGCCAACCGGAGGCGCAAGCAGACCGGGAAACGACCTACGAGAACAGTGCAGACCTAAGTGTCAAGAAATAACAAATAGAAGAAAATGAAAAGTGGACACACACCAAAAGGTAGACATTTTTGTTTTGCTTTTTGTATATTTGACCCCGCTAAAGCAAAACGTCGCGGTTTATAATTTTTTTTTTCTGTGTTGTCAGTCCGGCACTTATAGCTCTCGCGAACACTGTCTGCAAGGGAACATTGATAAGCAGAGAACAGTACAGGAAACGAACTGCAAGCTGGACGACCTCTCAAAATCCCAACAAAGCGCCGCCCAACGCGGAGTGCCTTTCTGAACGCAACCTACTTGAAGAAGGTGCTACCACTGCCGTGGCTATTACGTGGGTTCTCTTTTTAATCCATTCACTCATATTCGTGTCCCAAGTTCGTTTATAGTGAACTCCCCGTATAGGGAATATGAATTTTAGTAAAACGATGCGTCTAAGGTGCGCCGCAGGATGTGATATTCAGCGATGCCACTATTGGCGAAGCGCTCTGACCCGTTTGTCACCCCTACACCTCGGTGTTTACCCAACGCAAGGCCTATGCACATGCCCACAGGCCTTGTGGCATGTTCGTGTCATCTTTTTTTTTTTTTTTTAATAGAGCTCGGGGCATAGTGTAATGAAAAAAACACCAACAATTAGTGAAGTGACGTTAAGTGCCGGATCTCCCCCGAAAGCAGTCGTCAGAGGATGCGAACTTGACCCACTTGGGCTTTTGTGCTGAGCTGGGCAGGGTGCATGCTGCATTGTTCATGCAGGCCGGAGTGGTAACAAAAGAGCCCCTCCTCCCCGTCACCAGAGGACACGAACTCCAGCCGAACGCTGACGCCGCGTTCGGTTAAGTCAGCCGAGCGCTGAGCCATTGCATTTGTTGTTTCCGTCCATCTATTAGTTAACCGCTTGGGGCACCACGGTCTGATCTCCCCCAATATCAAAAACGACCTCTTGTTGTCCCAGAAATGTTTTGTAACATCTATCAGTGATATTGCCACGTGCGTTGCCCAGGGAGCGCGTGGCCGAATGGTTACCGCGCTTGGCTCTCGTTGGAGGCTCTCGCGCGGAGACTCCGGGTTCGATACCAGAAAGCGGACTTCTCTTTTATTTACTTCTTCAACTGGACGTCCTGGTAAGTTCGCTAATTTTGTCGTCTGGTTGAGTTACGAATGTCCTACCCGCCGAACTTTCTACGCCGAATGTTCCAGAAACTCACGCGGGTACAAAAGGTGCTCCGAGTGGCGGTCCGGAGTCAGTCTCGCCCCAGCGGTCGATTCTGCTGTTTCGCCGACATCGACGCCTGCGACGCTAGCCTTTCTCTCTTTTGTTTTTGGAACAAGTTTTCCCCATTAAACGTTTAGTTTCTTCAGTTATTTGCCACCTCATCATTTATCATTCGTGACAATATTTTGCTCTTTATAGTCTGACTGCATAAAATACGATACTTTTTCCCGTTTTGGGTTGTTGCGTGATAATAAACCTTTCTGCTAACCCAGATTTGCGTAGCTGCATAATTGTCGTTGTCAATGACGTCGATACAAATTAAGCAATACGGAAGTACCCTCAAAAGTAACTGAAATACATTTCTAAGTATTTGTACTCTACTCAAGATACTTTACAGTGAAACTAACTTGAGTAGTATTTTAAATACTTTATGACGCAGGTATTTAGTAACTTAACTTAAATACTTTTATCGAGTATTTTATCCAACACCGCAAGATACCCCTGAGCAGGGATTCATTTTCCTTGTTCATGGGCTCTTAATGACTCACTATAGGCAGGGAACGCTCTGAATGCATGAAGGTCCTCTGACGTAAGGTCTCGGGTGCCACCAGGAAGACTAATCTAAATTATCCATGCATATGCCTCATACATAATGCAAAGCAAGACGGGTCTAACCACGTCACGTTCGACGCACGACTTCGTCACGGCTATATTCCCCCCCAAGAGATCTAATGACAGTCATTGTAAAGTACGTGCAGGCAGGTTCGACGTAATAGCACACTCTTCTGCTCTGCTTCCACACTCCCCCATGTGCACGACACGCGACTGCGCGTTGTGTGGCGAGGTATTGTGCCCGAGTCCCACTAGAGCGACAAACAACCGACGAGCCTCCAACACGTGCAGCAAGCACGCGAAGGTGCCTTTGACAGGCTTGCAGTCACTCGTGCTTACGTCACGAGCTCCGAGGGAGACTGCCAAAGGTATCATCGCGTGCACGCGATTTACGTGTTTGAGGCTTGTCACGGTGTTGGTTGTTTCTGTTTGTCACTCCATTGGGGCTCTGGCATTAGAAATATACCTAACACTGACGTCTCTGACGTGACTGCTCGGAATCCAATCAACTGTAGCAATGTTAATATCTGGGTAAAGGATATTGACACGAGAAGGGGGGGGGGGGGGGGGGGGGGCGCGGGCGCGGGCGCGAACAAGCTCCCCTCTCCCCCGAAAAAAAAGTTTCTGGGTACGTCACTTACCCTTCGCACATGTACATGAGAAAAATAAAGCTGACACGAAAAACGTATTGGAGGAATTATTTTCATACCCGCATTCAGAATGCCCAGTGAGGTCTTTATCGTTCATTTATTTACATAATTATACTCCGCGACAACTTTTCTTGACACTTGCAGTAGAAGATACAAGCACGCGTTTCCCCTCCAAATTTGAGCGCTGGATAAAGCTGTGCGCGGGCTTTCCTCCTCTCCCCGGAAATGCCAAGAAAAGTTCGCGCAAGGAAAAGGCCAGCGTAGCTTGACAAGACCCTTAATCTGGTTGTTTAATATATACATATATATATAATTGCAGAACAATACCAAAACCACATTGCGAACAAGGCTGGTACGGAAACCTATATCACTCAATTTCAGAAAACGAAAAGAAATT